GGGGGGGGCAGGGCGGGCAGAGCGGGGCAGTACCGGCCCATTGGGGGGGGCAGGGCGGGCAGAGCGGGGCAGTACCGGCCCATTGGGGGGGGCAGGGCTGGCAGAGCGGGGCAGTACCGGGCCATGGGCGGGGGGCAGACGGCCCCCCAGGGACGGGGCACCGGGGATGGACCCGTTGCTCAGCCCTGAGGCCAGAAGCACCTGGGGTTCCCTGGAGAGGTTGGGGGGGGGGCAGAGGCCTCCCTTTGCTGTGGGGCCAGACCCAGAGATGGGGGGGAGGGGCTGCTCCCGGCCTCTGCCAGGCCCGGGGGGGTTCTGCAGGGGCCAGGGGCTCAGAGCGGGCAGTGGGGGGCACTGGGGTGCAGGGGACAGTGATGGGGGGGCTGGGGTCCCCCCGCAGCCCCACGGCACTCACTGAACTGTCCAGCAGCCCGTTCCCATCCTTGTCGTAGAGCTTAAAGGTAACTGGAGGGGGGGAGAGCGGAGTCAGTGGGGGGACCCCAGCCAGGCCCAGACCCCCATGGCCACCCCACCCCCACCCTAGGCCAGCCCCCAACAACACACATCCTAGCACAGCCTGTCAGTCCCCACCCCTCTGGGGAAAGACGTCTGACCCCTCCCCCAAAGGTCTCCCACGAGCCCCCCGCCGTGCCCCCCCCGCCCTGCCCCCCAGGGCCACCCGCTGCCCCCTTAAGAACCCAACTCGGGTCTGAGCCCGAGCTGCCCCGAGCTCGTCGCCTCTCCGTGGGGCTGGGGCGGGTGGGACCTGCCCCCCCCCTCGTCGTCCCCCGCCCCAGACTCACACTCCAGCTTGTCCTCGGGGCGCCCCCCCTCCAGCAGTGAGAAGTAGCAGGAGACGTCGTTGACACAGACGAGGCCGCTGGCTGCAAAGGGACAGAGTCGGCGCTGAATCCCGCAGCCCCCCTGCCCCACACGGGACCCAGGAGATCGGGCCCCGAGGCCCATTCACTCCTCGGCTTCAGCTGCAGCCCCCAGCCCCAGGCAGCCTGTGCCCCATGTCACCCCCCTCCCCAAGGCACAGGCCCTCTCCTCAATCCAGCTCTGGCCACTGCAACAAACTGGCTAGCAACTGCCCCCCGCTGCTTGGGATCAGAACTGCTCTGCTGTGTGTCATACCCCCCGTACAGTCAGCATCTGATGGGGATTCTCCTCTAGCTCAGCCAGGCTGATGGAGCAGGCGGGGCCGGTGCACGCCCTTACCTGGCTGCTCCCCGAGGCCCGGCTGCTGCCCGGGGGCCTCCCCAGGCGAGGTCTGGAAGGACAGGAAGAGGTGCTGGCAGAGCGCGTCCGAGATCTCCTCGGCCTCCAGGTAGCTCCTCATAAACAGCTTGAAGCCCTCAAAGTCGATCGACTGGGGGAGGCAGCAGAGAGGGGGGCAGTTAGGGGGCATCCCGGGCCCAGGGGGGGCCCTGCTCGGGGCTCTGGGGTCAGACTGGGACCCCCCTGGGTGGCACGGGGGGGGGCATTGGGCGGACTCACGTCTCCCTGCAGGTGCTGCACCAAGGCGCCATCTCCATAGAAGTCCTGCAGCACGTCCTGGACCTTCCTGCTGCTGTCTGGGGGGGGGGGGGGGGGGGGGGGGCCGGGCCCCCGGCCCCCCCCCCCCGGGCCGGGAGCAGACGCTGCCCAGACCCAGGGCCAAGCCCTCCCCCAGCCCTGCCGGGTGGGGGGTGGGGAGCTGCAGTTCTGCCACCGTGAGCCCCGCCCTGCTCTGGGGGCAAATCCAGCCACTCTACCGCCCCCCCCCCACAAGCTCCCTAGCCTTATGGGGGGGCCAGGTCAGCCCCCCCCGCAGGAAATCAGCCCCACCTGCAGGCCTGGAGCGTTGGTACCAGAGCAAATCCCCAACAGAGGCGACCCCTCCCCCACCGCAGAACCAGTGGGGCCGACCCCCCAGCGCGAAGTGGGGTGTGGGTGGGCTCAGCTGCACCCCCCCCGTGCCGTCCTCCCCCCAGCCCAGGGCCCAATCCTGCTCCCGCCAGAGCAGTGGCAACTCTTCCCACCAGCCCCCGCCCAAGGCGGGGCCCAGACGAGCGGGTCTGCGGGGGGGGGGGGCGCTCCCGCTTGGCGCCCCGATGCCCTGGGGGCGACGGGCTGTCCCCACGGGGACCCCCTACTGCAGCCTCCCGCCCCGGGGCAGCGGGACCATGGCGAGGGCAGGGCCGATCCCAGGGGGCTCTGAGCCCAAGTACCTGCCCAGGAGGGTGGGGGGGCAGCGGGGCCGGGGGGGGGGCGGTTACTCACAGTCAATGTACTTCTGCAGGTGGGCGAACTCCTCGGGGCTCAGGGTGGCCCATTCCTTGCTCTCCGACATGACGCTCTGGGGCCTCCGGGCCGCGGCTGCGAGGGGGGGGGGCGGGGGAGGTAGAA